ATTACTGGGAATGCTTATAATTGGTTTAAATCCTACCTAAGCTACAGAACGTTCTATGTTAGTGTACAGGATGGCACATCTACTTCCCGTAGTTTTGATTGTGGTGTTCCACAGGGTTCTGTTTTGGGACCTATTTTGTTTTCACTGTATATATCCCCCATTGCAAATGTTATAAGTCTTCATGGTTTAGAGTATCACTTATATGCTGATGACACTCAACTCTACATTTCTTTTCCTTCATCATCCTCTGTTGAGCTCAATATTGCAAAACACAAAGTTGAAGCCTGTGTTCATGACATTGACATGTGGATGGTTCAAAATAAATTGAAATTAAATGGTGATAAGACTGAGATATTAATGATCTCCTCTCCACGACGTTCTTCTCCATTTCTTGATTCTTTCGCAATTTCTGGTTTTGAAGTTTCTCCTTCAACCACTGTTCGCAACATCGGTGTTATTTTTGATAAGAATATGTCACTTGATGCTCATGTAACAGCAACATGTAAAGCATGCTTCTTTCACATTCATAACATTTGGAAAATCAGAAAATCTCAACCTGGACGAAGCACTTCAACGAGGTCACAAAGGCCAGCCTCTCTATAGTAAACTTTGGTGGAGTCTTGTAAGATCGACTACTTTGTTTTCAATGACAATACATCTTTCAAACTTTCGGACAATGCCATCCATGCGATCTTCGCGTTGCTTTTTAGATGAAAGGCCTTTAAAGGTCTCGTTTCCATGGTTCATCACAAGTCCCCCAATATTGGGGTTAGCGAGCTACCGTCATTTTTGAAAGTCGCATAAAGTACCAGTAAATGAGTGTTCCCTATCGAACTTTTAAGTTCAAAAGCAGGTAACATGACATGTTGTCTGTCATGAATCATAGTAAACCAATTAAAATGATTCATAGGGTTAGATATGATTGCTTTGATGGATTTCGATCGACTCCCTCATATTTTTCAGCAAACAATACACAATTAATTCGCAAAGAGCAGTTGGTTGTGTTAGGACGGACTGGTAGTTAATTGATATAAGTGCATTAGTAAATTTGTTCTTATCTTTGGTTATCAATCATTCAGCCCGCACAATAGTCTCCTTCACGGTTACCTGCGTCATTGAAAGGTAGCCGTGCCTTTACATCGAAGCGAGACAACTGTTGAGCGTGCAATGATAGAAACCTGTGAATAATTGTCTGTGGGTGTGAAAGAAGGTTTCTATCATTGCACACTCAACGCTTTTCTCGCTTCGATGCAAAGGCACGGCTACCTTTCAAGATGGTCGCGCAGGTAACCGTGAAGACTATTGCCTGTGCACGGAAATTCGAATTTTAACTGTGTATTTATTTTGTACCAAGAACCATGTGGGTAAACGTCCCGTCTCTCTACACTTCACTCACTAACCTGTATTAGAGGGACGTTAAAGAACCCACACCACTGTTCGCATAAGAGTAGGGAATGAATCCCGATGTGTGTGGCTAGGCCTTACTACTAACCCATACTAATTACTAACCCCTCATGATTGTAAGCCGCGTGGCTACCAATTGCGCCTTAAACAGCGGTCCGTGTGAAATGATGTATACATGTGAAGCGCCTGTGAACTCAGAGGATATCGGCGCTATATAAATACCACATATTATTATTATTATTATATTAAACGTGTGCTGATTGAAGGTTCATCTTATGACTAATTAGTTAATGAATGTTTTGGATGTATATCGTGAAAATTATCGAACATAAAGACCTGCATCAAAGATTAAAAATTTAAGCAAACAATCTTGAGTAAACAATACAAATGTTCAACAGTTTATTCATTTATTCATTATTTAAGGAATAAAAGACGAAATTCCGTGTTTGATACTCTGATCAAAACACGCGGGATGTAGGGAGAGCACGAGAGAAGCGTAGGAAACCACGACGCGTAGCGGAGTGGTTTCCAGCTTTTCGAGTGCTCTCCCTACATCCCAAGTGTTTTGATCAGAGTATCAAACACGGAATTTCGTCTTTTATTTCTTTTCTAAAATTAAAAGAAAACAAGAAATTTTTGACGTGCGCGAGCGTGTTTTGATACTGTATTCAAACATGGTTTTCGACCAATCACAGCGCGCGTAGTATCCTAAATATTTTAGAAATTTGTTTCTTTGGAGCAAGAATACTAATCAATCCATCCTTTGAGATTAGCGATGTTGGCATAAAAGTCATATGTATTGTCACAGCTCAAGCCAGGTCCCATACTCCAGATTTGTTCTTACAGGCCAGCGGTCCACCACTGTCACCCTTACATGTGCCTTTAGATTCTGTTTTATAGCCGCCACAGATCTGACTCGTGAACATTTTTCTGACCATTTTTTTACACTTCTTATCAGAAACCAGGGGAAGTTTGAGCTGGAAAATTAATAAGGATTTCATTATTTGATAAAGTACTGTACTGCGAAGAATTTTGACTAGATTCGCCGTAAAGCATTTTCCGCGCTCTGCATTCTTCTCAGGTTATATCTTAGCTTTATGATCGTATATGATACTAGCTAGTGATATAGTTTTTCCAATAACCTTGCCTGTTGACTTGACATATTCGATAGGATCTATGCACTTAAAACCCCCTTTCTTCTCACAGTACTGAAATCGCAAAAATATTACAAAACCCCGAATAATTAATATAAATATTAACCTGTTGTAGAATAGGGCTTTTTGTTGGCTCGTCGCCTTTCTTCCACTTTTTAACCCATCCCCAACCAGTAGCGTAACAATTTTCYCCATCCGGAAAACGCTTTGTTGGGAGGCAAATAGGTCGAACCTTKTCATTGAATGTAATTTTGGTTTTCAGCTTCACAACTGCAATATCATTCTCTAGATAACCGGTTCTGTTGAAATGAGAATGTCGGATGATCGTCCGGATGTCCAATCCTTGCTCGTCATCTTCCTTTTTCTCAAGGTTAAGTTCACCTGATGATTGAGATAACGAGTCTGCTCAGTAGGAAAAGGCGAAAGGCCTGTTAGTAGTATAGTGTGCATGGAATTAACCTTAGAGGAGGAGAGGAGGAGAGGAGGACAGGAGGACAGGAGGAGAGGAGGAGAGGAGGAGAGGAGGAGAGGAGGACAGGAGGACAGGAGGACAGGAGGACAGGAGGACAGGAGGACAGGAGGACAGGAGGACAGGAGGACAGCTAGGATTCATGATTAAAACATATATGTAGTTGTCTCTAGCTTAGTTTTTTATTCAGACGTTTCGATCTGCTCTGAGATCTTCCTCAGTGCAAAAAAATGAATTCCGTTACAATTGTTTGCGCGCGTATTGAAGCTCCGCGCACACTATATTTTACTTTAGTATAAACATACTAATCGGTCAAATAATGAAAACAAATTGAAATATCCTTAAAATAATTTATTAATGAGATGGCGCAATTTTGATTTTCCCGCGAGTGGTCTATCTCAAATTAGACCATTAGTAGAGTAGCCAATCACAGCGCAGTATGAGTGATAGACCTCGCGGACTCGGCCTCATGGGCTATTAGCTCGTAGTCCACTCGACCTCGAGGTCTAATTGTTAAATATACGCGCGCAAACAATTGTAACGGAATTCATTTTTTTGCACTGAAGAAGATCTGAGAGCAGATCAAAACGTCTGAATAAAAAACTAAGCTAGAGACAACTACATATATGTTTTAAACATATTCAATGTATTTTACGATATAATTTTCTTTCATCTATGATTTTAGTATAATTAACAGAATATTACATGGGCGCTTGGCCGATACTCAGAATTATATCTTCTTGAGTTGAAAACTTCTCACTAGTTCGCTACGTTCACTCGTGAACACTTGAAGATTATAAACTTATCTTCGCACACCCAAGGAATATCCTCTATATACTTTTAATTATGCTTGGACATATTGTAAGATTTGACCTTACATGTAAAACAAACCGATGGAAACGCAATGAGAACATTCATTCAACTACCACATTTTCCATATACAGAAAAATCTGAAACACGATTGCGTTGAATAGTGGTGGACTATGGCTTTTAAGAAATGTTATTTAATGAAATTATGTTACTTAATTCACATTTTGTTACGTCAGAAATTTATTTTAACATTTTTTTTCTCTCCTCACGACACTGGATGCGTTGTATAGTCCATACTTCATTTACACTTTCCTCGTTCCAACTATTTTCTGCAAGTTCATAACCTCATGATTGCATTTTCTTTCTCGTATGAAGTACAAAACAAAGTAAATTCATTTAGTTGGATGATTTTCAACGCATGCCACTTCTATGGTGTTTTAAAATTCTATCGCTTTTGAAAGATTGATGAGGTTTTTCTCTGCTTTCTCAGTCCATATTGCTACACTGCTTCTAGTTGCAAAGTACTTTTTCTAGTAAATTCAGAAAAGGTTGATTTAAAAAAAGTTATGAAAATCCATTAATTTTTTTGACCTCATTGACTACATTTTCTTGCCTTGAGCCTTCGTTCTCTTGGCCAGCGGCGAAAACGTAAGACTCTGGGGTATCGTAATTTTCTGAGAATTGTGATTGGTTTTTGAGAAACAAATGCCGCCGGAAGTGAAATTACACCAAGGAAAACATGCAAATTCATGTTTTATCTCGACATTTTACCTTAGATTTTTGATTTAAAATAATTTATTAAGTCATTCAAGTAGGAAATTGCGATGAACAAGATCAATAAATGCATTATTGAAATGCAGTGAAATTTAGCCGCGACGAACTGTCGCGCCGACTGACCAACCGTCGCGATCGGAACAAATTCCAAAATTTTATATGATAAGACCATAATCTAACCGAATTTACTTTGTCGAAGGTAGATGAATCACTTGGGATCTTGTACATTCCTTGTACCGGCCGGTGCTGGGCGTTGTCTATTTTCATTGTCAGCCATGACGCGTCGCGAAGCCAGTCTTTTGATCAAAAATTCGATCTACCCTTGACGGCGTCGTAGATGAGAGTGGCACAAAAGAGAACGCGTGGGTTAATATATGCATGGTGGTGCATGATGGGATACCTATTGTTATGCACATATTCGACATTATTGTTAGTGCTTAGAATAGTGAACCAGCGAAGCACTGTCTATTGTACGTTAATATTTAATAGCTAAATCAATAGAATGGTTTATTACCAACTTTTTTAAACAAAGGGAAAGGAAAAGGTATTAGTAAAACTGCAATTAAGTAAATGATACATATGAAAAAGAACAAGAAAAACACGAAAGATACTTATGAGCAATATAGTGTAGTCTGCTAAACTGTCTATCATTGAATTATACTAATTCCTTTGGTATATTTTATCTAATTAGATACATATAAAAGAGTAGGGTACACTATTAAATGTGTCAGTAGCGCCATAAGAGAGGGACTAATCGATTTGTGGCGAAAGCAAATCTTGGTCTTCGAAAAAAAGTAGTGAGAAAAGCTTGGAATTTCTGTCCCTTCTATTGCGACGCGAAGAAATTGTTTTATTTGATGTTGGAAAACATGCGGTACACGAATTGTTTTAATGATTTTGACTTATAGAGAAACAAAATGAACCTATGAAATAGATAGTCAACGCAATAGAGGGATTAACTTTTACCTTTTGTTGGAACAAAGACTATTAGTCAAAGTGTAATAAAATTAGAGATAATTATAAAACGAACGAAAAAAACTGAACAATATATAATTAAGAGAAATAAAGTACATTCTGCTAAAGTGTCTTTTAGTGAATTATGTGAATTCCGTCCTGTGGTATCTTCTGTCTAATAAACATGGGATTATTCATACTATTTTTACGGGATTGATTGCACTCTATGCCATGCTGACTCAGATAAAATTGTTTATGTTATGAAGATAACCTAATTATCTGATCTATTAGACCAAAATACAGTGACTGGCTTACATACCTTGGCGTCTCAGCACACGACGAGATCAGCTGAACTCTAACTGAATGCACTTAGTCGATGATTTAAATCTAGTTCAAAAGCAGGTAACACGACACTTCTTTCATGAATCATAGTAAGAACAAGTAAAATGGTTCATTGGGTTAGACGTGCTTGTTTTTGTCACCTATCCTTTTCAGCAACTAATAATACAAAATTAATTTGCAAAGAGAAGTCCTGGTATCATTAGCAGAAACTGTTTGTGTTACGCTGGACTGGAATTTAATTGATATAAGTGTATATATAAGTAAATCTATTCTTATCTTTTGTTATAATCCATTCACCCAACCCACTACGCATCTTGTAGTAAACAACAGAAATGTTCAACAGTTTATTCATTTATTCATTATAATTGTTTATTTGGAGCAAGAACACTAATTTTTTTTGATTTGATCTTCGACCCATCCTTTGAGCTCAGCCACGTTGGAATACACACCATATTCATTCTTGCGAGCGCAACCTCTTCCAAAGCTCACAACTCCAGCCAGGTCCCAGATACCAGATTTGTTCTTACAGGTCAGCGGTCCACCACTGTCGCCCTGACATGAGTCTTCACCTTCCGTCCCGCCGGCACAGATCATGCGTGATGTCAGTCGGTGTCTTTTTCCACACTCCTTATCAGAAACCAGGGGAAGTTCGAGCTGTAAAACAAGGATTTTATCAGTACTGTAATGCGAAGTATTTCTTAGTCTAGCCTTGTCGTAAAGCGTTTACCGCACTCTCTATTCTGCTCAGGAAAAATCTTCATAATCAAGTATGATTCTCTTCATGTACTTTTTACAATAGTCAAAATGATGGCCCACCAATGCTTTCACTTTTGTGCGTTTTGCTAAAAAATCCATAAAAGCTAATTTTCAAGACCGCCACCCACATAACTCTGGACTGCCTGCATTGTTTTAGCTTAAACTTTGTGAAAGCAATCACACTTGTTGTACAAACCTGTCCACAACGAAATAGCCAATAAACTACGAAAAAGTATTTTGTGATTAAAAATGTAGGTGAAATAACTTACTGCGTTTCGGACGTTAATCCTTCGTGGTAGTAGTAAAGAGATGGAACTGAGTAAAGTGTGAGTTTATACAATTAGAGTAGCAAGGAAAGTAAAATATCGCTACCAGCTCCTACCGGCCTTCGTCTGGCCGCCGATAAAATGCGGATCGGAAAAAAAAAACACATATCGACAAAAATCAATAATGGCAAATTTTAACATGCTGTTTAAATCTAAAATGTAAAATACCATATTTATGGCATTATATTTATATAGTTTAAACTGGCAAAAAATAAAAAGATTCCGCCTATCTTAGTCTGTATGGCCATCCAAAGTGAATGGTCACAAATGATCACTGACTACCTATATTTCATTGTCTCTCATCTCTACTTTAACTTTTTATTTTCGACTTCGAACTGTTTTCGCCTCTTCGAAAGTCATATGTTGCGCCTTCGCGAGTGTCAAGTCAGTGTTGTGACAAGTAATCGACCAATCATCGACTGTGTTTGAATTCGAATTGGTAACAGCCAATCACAAATCGCTTCATATTTCCTTCGTTTGTCCGGATGTGACGCAGCCTACAGCTTTGAAGTCATCCATTGATGAAATGTCTCTCGACTCTCCCCCTTCGCAGTATTGAAATCGCGAAAAACCTGTAAGCTCCAATTAAGAAAACCCGTCGCGAATGCCCAAGGATATTATACGATATTGATATTTAGTACCTGTTGAAGAATAGGGGATCTCTCCGGCTTTTTGTGTATTTTTTTGTTGAACTCCTTAAGGTATCCCCAACCAGTAACATAACAATTTTCTCCATCCGGAAAACGCTTTTTTGGAAGGCAAATTGGTCGGACCTTGTCGTTGAAATTAATGTTCTTTTTCAGTTTCAGTAGTGTGATGTCATAATCAAATTTAGGGGATTTCGATTCATCGTAGTTTGGATGCTTGATGATCTTTTCGATGTCCATTACTTGCTCGTCACCATCCTTTTTCGCGAGGTTAAGCTCACCTGATGGTTGAGAAAAAATATTCTGCTCAGAAGGAATCGTATCAAAAAACGACCTTCTTGTTCTCGCGTTGTTCAAAGTCCGATTATCGTTTATTCAATAACTTTATTTTAAGATCTAAACTAAGATTAAGTAGTGCTAATCGATCTTGGAACAACGGGGAGAACAATAGACTGAGCTTTGATCTGAGGACTAGACGACCGATACATCACATAACATTGACATTTCGTGATACATGAATTTTAAATATGTTAGTTTAAGGTTATTGCTCCCCTTCGCGGGCTGTCACTGTAAAATAATCATATCTTTGCTTCATTAAATAATACCTAAGCATATTATACCGTTTGAAGCACAATAATTTAAACGTCTATGACATTGGTTTGTAATAATATTTAATAAGTAATTAATTACATATTAATAAACAAAAATCTAGTCCAAATCTTTAAAAAGATAAAGCGAAAAAGTATTTATTTTTCCAACAAAATTTGTACTGTAATGTGAGCGTTTTTCGATATTTTTTCTATTTGCGGAGTTATGGCTATTTGAATTTAAAAGTACGAATTCTTGATGTGAAATTTGATATTTTACGCCATAACTTCAAAACGAATATCTAAATCCAAAAACGCTCAAAGGTTTTTTACCCCACTATGGTCCAAACGATATCCATTGAAATTAAAGGCGCTCAAAGAGCGCATGTTGTTACTCCCAAAAGCGATTTTTTTTCTTAAAAAACAAATTACTGAATTATCAATGATGATAAGCCCGTCCAGTATAGAGCAAAAATACTGAAAATACATATTGTTGAAAAAGTGTTATTGCACTTGTATCATAACGTATAAATATGATGAACAACTCTTTTTTATGGAAACTTGAACTCAATGTTTTAACACTTAAAAGAGTGTTAGAGGTGCCTTAATATAATTATTACAAAATATTTTGTCTTTAATTAAATGCAGTAAAGTACTTACCCACTTATAACAATATGCAATTTAAAAACCTGTTAGCCTAAAAATATCAAAATAGATCCATTTACATAAGAACCTATTTAGCCTAAAATTTGAAGCAGGTTCTTATAGAAAGGTTCTCATAGAAATTTAAACCCTAAAAAAATCTTCATGCAAAGAAACATCACTTAAAAGTAGTGAAGTTCAACATGTACACACTTCTAAATTTGGTATAAATAATGTTTGAAAACCTTGTATATCATCCACTTATCTATTCACATATTTCCTCATTGTCCGAATAATTATTCTTCTGTAAAAGTATGAGCCTTACATATCCATGTGATTAAATATTTTTGAAAACTGTGATTGTTTGGCAGGCGAACATTTGTTGATGGGTGCTCGAGTTGGCGGTAGAAAATGCATCATTTCTGCATAGATCAGCCAATAATCTTGAGTTATATACCTCCTTCCATGTCCGACGGATAATAATCAGTTGTTTTGTGCATAATTTTCAGCTCTTTTGAGCGTTTTAGCTACATTGTACAGCCATTTAAAACGAGACAACTGTTTGCAGCCGTCTGTCCGCCATTTTGACTTCATCTCAAAATTGAATATTAATGTAGATTGACGTCATGCTATTGTGACATCCCAGTGTTACAGACACTCTTGTTTTTCGGGCGATAACATAGTTGATACTCCGTCATTACAGGACTGGAGTTACAACAAACACTCCGTCCTTACAGGACTGGAGTAACAACAAAAAGCGAGGTTTTAACGCAAATTTTGTTTTTGCGAAATAGCTTCTTAAAGTCAAAATCGCCTCTTAAACTTAATCATTTTTAATTAAGTAATATAAGTAATATATTAACGATTTTGCTAAACCAACATCATAGACTTATTCTTCAGTCATACAGCTTTAATATGATTTGTAAAACTCATGAATAATTAATGAGGAAAACACAATAAAAATCACAACCGTGAAGAGTGTTGTAAACATTACATATAATGTGCTATATATGGTTCTTATCATATGAGACGCTTGAAAATTTTAAAACTCCAGCGAAGGATCGAGAGAGCAGTAACTTTAACCTTCTCAGAAAACATGACTTAATTCTTACTTCTTAGAGTCAAATAACCTGTAAAATATAGATATTACATTTATGAACGTTAGCGTGCTCTAATTGCCCTAGTTCATTATGACATCACATCAAAACATTCTATTGTTTTAGCGCTAAGGATTATGGTCGCCAGAGGGGATCAGAGTGACAAAATATCAAATAAAATGTAAACATGAACAATCATTTATACATGATATATATCAAAACGCGATTCACTGAGGTTCTACTTTAGTATACAATATAAAGGGTCCAAATTAGCACTGTTTTTGAGCATCGTGTTCCGATGTAAACATACTGTGATGTCATAATGAACTAGGGCAATTGCATTGTGCTCTTTCGTGTCTATATCGCAGTTTAATAGTCAATTTTTTTTTCATGTGTTAATGCGGATTCACACTATTCACAGAGCTTACCGGCGGTGACTTTGTAATCGGCTGGTCTGGCTCCTTTTTTGAAACAATGAGCAGCAGTGACAATCCAGTTAGGCTTGATAATACTTCCACCGCAAAAATGACCACCCTTACTACGTTTTATCGATATCTGCCATGGCCATTGACCTTTTGTAGTTACGTCCTTTCCACCTACAATTCTTTCAATTCCTTTGCCTTTGGTTCCACATTCTATTTTCTCTGCTGATCATCAAAACGAGATTTAGATTTACGTTTAATCCGAGCTACGAACGTTGAAACTAACACTGGAAAAAATCGCGCGCTTTAAAGGTTGTAAATTGGATGTAAATTTAATGTAAATGATTGCACTTACAAGTAATTTTCTAAGTTTACATACAAAGATGTCTCTCGCTATCTCTGAAAGAATCACTAGGCTATATTCTTTCCAATTGTAAGTAGGAGCTGACGGGGTCTGTTCTTGTACGAAATCCAGTTTCCTGGGAAAGGGATTTCGAGCTACATTGCTGTCAATTTCACAAGCGGGTCTTGCGCCCTTTCTTTTTCAATTAAAAGAATATTGTTCCTTGCAAACGTTTTTAAAGTCAAAAAAGGCTTATAACGTTTTTATAGTAAAAAAACGGCTCAATTTTTTTCAGTAAGGAAATTTTCCTGGCAAAAATTCTTAGAAAGTAATCCTTGCCTGGAGAAGTTGTTTTTCCTGAATTTCTCGCTGGCAACCAGTTGTGACTTACAGCTTGCAGGGACACACAGATGTATTTTTTCTCACAGAAACCCGTCGGCTCCTCCTAGATTGTATATAAATTCAATAGTTTTCTCATATATGAGATCATCAATTCTCCTTTGCAGCGTTTGTACGTTTGTTTCAAATTTTTTAACTAAGCTTAAAAGCTTATTAAACTTTTAGCGTTCACCTTTAATCTAAGTCTTTCCAACGAACAAAACGTATAATTTACAACCTAAAAGATTGTGATTCTTCCAAAAATTCTGTTATTTTTATCAACAATCGTTGAGTTGCGATGCTTTGGCTGACAAAATACAAATTGATCAAAGTTCTTTTGCTGTTTTTTTTCTGAGCCTCTGAAAAAACAACAAATTTGGATAATAGCTCAAGAAAATTGAAACTAAATGGATATACATGTATAGTAACAATAATGTTTGCAGAAATCAGAATGGTTGATTTGTGATAGATCAAGTATGGCTTTAAATATATGTAAAAACATGTTCAACATGAAATTATTGTGTTTTGATACATCAGTGAAATGTTATCGTCTTCCTACCTTCAGCGAAACACATGCACAGTGCTCCCAGAAACATCAGCGTTACTAACAACTTCATCTCGTGAAATCTCTTGCTTGTGGGAATGCAGTAGCTAAATGATCTAAAATAGAGTACCTTTTAAAAAAAATGTTCTTTGTTAGCAGATCACACACTCGTCATCTACGAAACGTTTATTCAACCATTAATAGCTGTGGCCGCTGATCTTACCACTAATAGTTTTGGGAGGTGCGGAACTTACACCTGCATGACTAAAACTAGTTATGGGCGGAACACCCGCCAAAAACTAGGAAATACAACAAAATTAGGGATCGATAGCTAATGAAGAAACGCTTTTTTCATGAACTAATGTTCCTTCACATTTTAATAGATGATTTTTTTCTTTTCTTTCTTTGTCACGGCATTGGAAACGACGTTTAAATCCAAATGAATGTTTATAATCTTTAATTATACTGTTCTATTCACAGCTTTATAGCCTTCTTTTATTGTATTTCTTTCCATTATCGACAGCGTTTTCCTGCAATGTCTTTCATTCAATATCACAGTAACAGGATTGTATTCAGATATTTCTTATATGATGCTTCTTTAAGAAGTGGCGATGCATAGTTTTGATCGTTTTCAACCATTACCATGAGATTCAAAAGATAAAAGACAAGAGGCGATGTTCGTGGAATGAGCAATAGCTACCCCTTTGTTGAAGTTTATCCAAAATGTTCGAGATGACCTTTATATTGAAAATATGAACAATGCAAAACATGGACACGGTGACTTCCAACCGTTACGTCGGACTGTTTTAATTCGAACGGTTCCTAACTACTTGGATTGTAAAGTTGCTCGAAAAAAAGCATAAAATAGTCAGCTGACAATAGATAGCCATTAAACCCATGGTACACTGAAAACTTGTCTACAAAACTGTGATAGTCAAATTGACACAAAAACAAGCTATGCAAGTAGAGATTTATTAGTGTAATATCTGTATCACCGTTTTTTTATTTCATTTTAATTACAATAGATTTGTTTTCCTTGTAAAAAAAACGTGAAATGAATATTACACTAATAAACCTTTCAATTGTATTCTCCAACTGTATTGTTTTATTTAACGTCTATTTCACACATTAAAAGCCAAATATGATGTTTCACGGGCTTATAGTAAGGTATAAAGACCCTGTGAAATTGATATTAGACTAATACAACTTAGTACGCCTTAATTGTATTATTTTCCTTTTTGTATATATTTCACTATCACACTTAACAATCAAGATTTGTTTAAGGATCTAATGACTTCGCTCTATTGTTTTTGAAATATCAATCTGTGTTGTCCATTTAGCACTATTTGGTAAGCAATTGTTTACGCTCTATCTTTACACAGTATTTTTTAATTAGTAAATATTAGTATTATTAGATTCTATATGGCTAACAGCATGCACTTTTTCGTTTTCATAGCTAAATGTAGGTATCAAGTGACCAAAAAAACGTACATACCTTGGTGTTACAGATCTCAGCTGAATCTGACTGAATCTACGGCTTGTCAATGATATACATAGTGCAAAAGCAGGTCTTGTCATTATCATTGTTATACGTGTTACTTGTATCCTGCAATGAATTATTAAACAGTTTAAAGCAAGTTTTAAAGCCGTTTTAAAAAAGAGATAAGCCGTGTTTGTTTTGTCAGAAGTGCACCTCACTTTTCTTCAGTCGTGACGAACCCGTGCTCCCATTCAAGGTCAAAGAATAAAATTAATAAAAAATATAAAAAATCCGACTTCAATTAGCAATTTTTGTCCTTGTGGGTTCTCGGTCCTGTTTATGGTGATTTTGTCATGGTTCACTGTTCGGTTCCTCCCTTCCTTACATTTGATAATTAATTACTAAACCAGCTAAAATGACGATAGGTGTTTGATTTGTTGSAAGCGTCCCCTCGCCTTTTTAGGACATGACTACATTCCTATTCAAGGCCAAAAAATAAATTGAATAAAAAAAGGATAAAAGGAAAATCCTACTTCAACTGGTTACTTTTGTCCCTTGGTGCTGTCTATGGGTTGTCCCGTCATGGTCTACTGCCTTGACTAGTTAAACAAACAATAAAAAAAATCCTTCGAAGAACGTATTTGGGTTAGGGTTTGTACTAGCAATATTGAATACATTAGGAAATGTGGATTTTAGGACAAGAATTCGACCCGTGAAATAGACATCTTGTTTTACTTCGCATTCGTCAAGACTGAAGAGCGTTGTTCAATTTCGTCATTGAAAGGCGTTGAATACAGTAAGATTTAAAAGTTCAGCCTATCGCACTAGAACGAGATTGCCAATAGTTCACTTACACTCTAACTGAGGCCTATGGTTATACTACAATCAGAGTTATTTTCAAGTTCGAATAGCTACTTTTAAAATCCGAAAAAATGAGAGAGAATGTCTGGTTTCGTTTGTTACTTTCAATTTGTCAGTTTGAAGTTTCAGGCATCATAGATATTCCAAACTGATTTATTTTCATCGATATTAAATAGTCAATATACATTTATAGCATCAGCTCAATGAAGTTAGGTTGTTCACGACTTTCAGAACCGGCGCAATATGTCACGGTCGCCGACCAGGGAATTGGGAACGAAGTACTAAAACGAGGTCGCAAAGCCAACCTCGAATAGTAAACTTCGACGGTGTCTTGTAAAAGCACTTTGTTTTACTACTAACATGCCAATACATCTTTTAAACTTTTGATGCGATCTACGTGGTGATGTAAGACCTTTGATCTTACTCGTTTCTATGATTAATTTTAATTATATCCATTCTGAAATCCCAAGTGAATCCTGCAATCTGATTGGTTCTTAGCAGGTTGATTTCATCCTAAATCGCACCATTTTTAATTCTTAATCGCACTCCTTTGAGGAGCCAATCACAATGAAAAACAAGTAAAAGGCAACCAATCACATTACAGGATTGTGTGTGTTTAACCAATCAAACTACAGCAAAAAGGACACACAAAATGATAATTTTTTTAATTTTTACAGCAAATATTTTTATGAAAATGTATGTGCAAATTGGATTATTTTAGTTCTTACTTATAGTTTTACATGACAATGTACTATCTCCGTGTAATTTTTCATCATTTGATACTTCTAAATCCTGACTAAAGAGCAATTTACAGTCCAAAAAATGTCAGAAATGTTCAACAAGGGATGCCAGTTCATGTAGCTCAGTTTGCAACTGCGACACAAACAATTGAAGCCCGTCGATGAATGAAGATTTCCAGGGCTTATAAGTTATGCAGACATCCTTAGGCTTCAGGTCAGTAATAAGAACAAAGACAGCAACAAAACTTTGGAAAGTCGACAACTACCAACCAGAATCAGTAAGGCAGATACAAAGTTCCTTTGAGCGATCTTTGAAGGAGAAAGGCAACAACGGAAGGATTGTGAAGGCGAGTAAATTCTCTGAAAATCACATGGCATCGATCGTCTTCCTCGCCGATGACAGCTTATTACGCAAACTTGTCGATAAACACGTTAAAATATCCATCTCAAAGAGACTGCAACAATTCTTAGATCTTCTTTGCGACACGCGAAAAACAGACGGCCTCCATAATTTAATCTTATGAGTACTCAAAATGAAATAAGACTTGAACAAAACTACTCGTTTGAAAATTGACAAGTTCGTCGTAGTTTTCCTCGAAGAGAAGTGACATGACCTGTCTATGAATCGCAAATGAGATGTAAAAGACATTCCGGTTCCGGTTTCAAAAAGCCACGACTGTCTTTTTTTATTAGGATTTCAAAATGGATATAATTAAGTGGTAATTGAACTGAGTGGAGTGCAATTTTGGTCTGAAATCAAACTAGAACTATCCGGAAAAGTTGAGCAGTTTACAAAGATTGTAAATTTCCTGTAAACATTCCCAGAAATTCGATACAACATGGCGCGACGCATGCGCATTAATTATCTGGTCGGCTAATCCACGGCATTTTAATGAGCAATAAAATACAAAGAAATGTATGTAATACTTTATTCATCTTCAAATATTTCTGTTATTTTTGACGTTCGAATTTTCTCACAAATCGTATTTTGAAGTTTGATGTATTGTCTTTGATATGGCGATTTAAAATAAGCCGTTTCGAAGTCCTAAACCGGTTCCAAAATCAATTGAAAATACTCACCAAAATAGCCGTCWGCCGCCATACTTTCCTTGTAAAAACACCATAAAACACTTGACATCTGGTTGTTGAGATCCTCATAAACATGTCTTAACTACCAGATTTCTCATCCCCACAAATCTTATTCGTTAGAACACATACTAAGCTACATTCCTGTGCCAAAAAAACATAAAAACACTTGACCTAAACCGGTTCCATTTTCCTTCGAAGATCTGCCATTCTTTGACCTCTCGGATTGTGGAATGCGAAGGTCCAAGTCGTTTTTTTTTAGCAGAAACAAGAGATTTAGTACTTCTACATGATCTAGCACGCCATTTGTTTCTGTTTATACCTTAGTAACCTCCCATGTCTCTTCATGTAGCAAAATATGCATTTTCTAGCAAAATAAGCATTTTGGGTTTCCTGTGTGAAAGATTTTGGCGGGGATATCGAAACAATACAAAGAAGATATGTCAGATGAAAGAAAGGCGTCTCTCTTTTTAAATACAAAGAGAAACTACAGTTCAGAGAGCATAAACTTAGATATATAAGTGGATTTTTGGCAAGAAAACCGCTTTTATGCTGTTAAAATCCCGTGTCCTTGCTTCACTAATACATGAGCCCGCGTGTTTACATCGAACCGCTTACTGTATCAAATTTCTGGGAATGATTATGATTTACAGACTTTGTAAAGTGATCTTACAGGATAGTTACAATATGCTTCTATAAATCGAAGATTCTGTAGATAATCAGTGTGAAATGTCAGTTCTCAGCTTGTAGGGAATGGGAAATTCTCTGTAAGAGAGAAGTCTGTAAATTTATTGTAAATTTTGCCTGAGAAACTCTGTAAATTTCCCGTCAATTCAGTACAAACTATCTTGTAAATATTCTTTTAATTAGATTCAGCAAGCTTATCATAAAACTCTGTCAAGGCAATAAGGAGGACCTGTAAATATTCTCTGTAAATGCAATAAGAGGGGCCTGTACTGTAAATTCTCCGTAAATGCAATAAGGAGGACCTGTAAATTCTCCGTAAATGCAATAAGGAGGACCTGTAAATTCTCTGTAAATGCAATAAGGAGGGCCTGTAAATATTCTCTGTAAATGCAATAAGGAGGGCCTGTAAATATTCTCTGTAAATGCAATAAGGGGGGCCCGTACTGTAAATTCTCCGTGTAAATGCAATAAGGAGGGCCTGTACAATGCTCATGTGAAACATTTTACACACGTGTTTTTCAGAAGGGAATTTAGTCGAACTTTTTTCACGATGGAATTTTGTTTTGAGTCTCGTGGTATTCAAGAAAAAATTATTTGTTATTTCATTTTTAAGATAAAATTATATTTCTATAATGATAAATATTTGATTTACATTTAAAAGCTATTTTATAAAGGTTTTCAATTTAGCTTCGATTTTTCGGATAGAATAAAATGACAGGCAGCCTACTCCACTGGGTCGAGTTTTGCTGTGCAAATTCCTCCCGTCGGATGGTTATGTTTACAATATAAGCTTGTCAGCTTTGCAATGATTGGCTAGTCGCATTTCCTTTTTGGCAGTGTGTTTATGCCCCAGTGAATTCTTAGTTTAGTTGTTGATTATAAGGAATTGTTTCACGCTTTTGTGGTGTGCACTCTATCTTTGTTGTTGTTTTGGGTCGTCGAATTCAATACAGAGCTGACAACTGTCGTTGGGAGAGATTAGCTGAGGTTTGTGGTTCTTCTTGCGTCTGATCGTCATCAGAATTTACTTCCCCAAGGGCTTGAGCCAAGACGTTACTACATTGGTGTAGTTGAGATGAAGAGGGCTTGTTGTTGTAGCTTCTAAGACTTTTGCAAAACGACTTTTTCTTGCTCTTTTTTCTTGAAAGTCTTCCTGCCGTTATCTTTTACTTTGACTTCCACATCAATTTCAAATATCGGGTAATCCATATGCAGATTACCTGCAACGTAAGACTGTAGACTAAAAGCGCTAGAAATTGAGAGTAATGTTGTTGTTTTTGTTCGTTACCAGGGAACGACCCGTGACTTTACTGGCGAAATAGCATAGATTTTTCTAGGCTTTCAGCCAATCGGAGCGCGCAGATTGATTTCTCGGGGATTTGATATCAATATATTTAGTCAATATGCTTTGTTTTAGTATTAGTTCGGCAATGAAATTAGATTATTTACAACTTTCTAAAATGGCGCGAGATGTCACGGTCGCCGACCAGGTCACTGGCAACGAAGTGGTAAAACGAGCATTCTCCGTATAGTAAACATCGACAGTGTCTTGTAAGAATTGTTTTAAATATCATGGCAATACATTTGTCAAACTTTCTGACACTGCCATAAGTCCGATCTTCTTAGGGCGTCTCGTTTCCATTATTCGCCACTATTCCCCCA